GCGACTTGGGCCAATATATCTAGATGAGCTACGGACCCGGCGAGCTCCAGTTCACTGTTGGTGATGGTCCCCCCTGGGTTATCAAAGGATACTAGATCTCGTTGAATCCACCGAGGAAAGGGCTTCCTCCAGCATACCGGCTGGATCTGTCCGTCGGGGAGGGGGATAAAATGGACCCCTCCCATTCCTGTTCCTGCGGCATTGCAGGCTCCTATGGTGGCAGGCCACTTATTGGGGACTAGTTCTGCTATCCTAGCGGGCCTGTTCGCTATGTCATTGGCCAGCCAGCGAAAGTCTTTGAGAAAGCTATGGAGGGGAGCAGTGAGCCTAAGTCTATTCCTGCCTTGCTCCTGGTGCCTAAATGCTTCTTGTAAGATGGAGAACAACCCTAGGGACCCGGGCAAGGCGATGGACATGGACCGTAGTTCCCCAAGCAGTTTGTGCCAGTCTTTTATGTCAACATGTCTTTGCTTGGGTGTAACCGTATTGAGAATCAGTCTCAGCCTTTTGACCCGGTGAGGTGGGAGGCTGATGGCCTTAGCTTTGGTATCCAGGAGCCATCCGAGGATGATCTTGGAGGTTGCCCATGTGGCGTCCCCCTTCTTGAGTTTCTTAACGGAGGCAGGTTCTTGCCGGTATACAGTGTCGTTGGTATCCAAGGGTCTAAAGACTTTATCTAAGGAGTGCAGGAGGGCTCGTTTGACTGCTCTCCAGGTCCACTGGTTCCCCTGGACTAATCCACAAAAATCATCCACATATATGACCCAGTATCGCACCGGCTTCTGTGCAGTGGAGACAGTGTGTAGATCTGCTACCGGGCTTATTTCCCGGGAGGAGGCCTGGGCCGTGGCCGGGTCCCCTGTCTCTTCCGGTACAGTCTCCGACAGGAGATCCAGCCGGTGGGGGAGCTGCCGTAGTTTGGAGAGTCCATGCTTTGAGTCCAGTAGTGCATTCGCAAGATCAGCCACAGTTTCAGTGCAAGCACTGAAGTTAGGCGGGGATGACCTCCAACCCATTGGGTTGGTCAGTGGAATCCCTACTAACTCTTCTTCTCCCTCTCGCTTGGGGAAAAGAACTGCTAAGCCAATCGTGTCTTCTGGTTTCACCCACAGGCGGTAGAAACCGTCGGACAGATCTATCTTGGACATATATACCAGTCCAAAGCGGTCATTGGCTCGGTGTATTTGCTGGAGCAGTCTTTGCAAGGTCCTTCTGAACTGCATGGCCTCCTCCGGGGCCAAGGGGACAGTATCCCTATTCACTCCAAAGTAACTGTAATCGGAGATCATTCGGTCTCGTCGGCCTCTCTGGGGGACCAGTCCTAGCGGACTCAGTCGGAGTCCGGGGAGGTGTTTGATTAACCTTGCTGGGAGCACTGTCCATTGTTGCTTGTCTATCATGTCCGCATACTCTTCCCGTAGGAATTCGATTCCGTTGTGGGAAGACTTATGGGGCCCTCTAGCAAGTGCCGCTTCTATGCGGCCGGGGGTCCACGGTGGTGGGGACATCTTAGCTGGTGTCCCCTCCTGCTGGAACTGTCGAAGCAGTGATGCTGCTGGGTGCGGGAGGTCTCCAACTTGAGGGTGGAGATCCCCTCTCCCTCTAACAGAGCAGACAAAGTCTCCCCAGCTGGCTGCTTGTTTGAACGCTTTAATGGCATGCTTTACATGTGCATCCAGCCGATCTGGGGGACGTGGTTTCTTTGCGGGGAGCTCGGTCCCCTGCCTTGCTTCGGCCTCTACTGGGGCCTGGGGTGGAGGATTACGTTCTTCCCTTGTGGGACTGGGCCCAGTGTGGGGGAAGCTGTGGGGTCCCCCAGCTGGGGGATCGCGGCTCTCCTGTACTGGGGGTTTGGTAGTTGGAACGGGCTCCAATTCTTCGGGTTGTTCACGTGACTCGCACTCACGCGTAGGGTTCTTACCTAGTTCTACGGGGAGGAGTCTCGGCCCCTCCCCCTTCCTCGGGATCTGTTTTTGTGCTACTGCTGCTACCGTCGATCTAAGCCTCTTAGGGGAGGGTAGTGGCACAGCAGCTGTAAGGGGTACAGGCTACCTGCCCCCTCGTCATTGGCTGTAGGCCTCCTGGCACCATTCCCAGAAGCGATCATTCTCATCATCCGGGGATGCTTGGTGGTCATGTTTGAGCTTACAGCTATCATAACAATAGCCCTTGGCTCGCCAGGAGTGGCACATTTCTTTACCATCATTACGGAGGCAAGGCCCCTTTCCTTTGGTTTTCATACTTGCCATGGCCTTGGATATCTTCCATGCCTTCATCCTGGCTCCTAGATCCCCTGTTGCTGAGGCAATGCGCTCATCCACATGGGGGTTCTCAACCCGCACTTGTGTAGGAGTGGTAGGGGCTTGCTGCTGTCCCCCCTTCCCCTTGTTGGTGTTATTGCCTCCTAGAGCCGTTGGGGCTCGTCCGTTCCTACCGGCGGCAGTACTCCCCCCTTCAGGAGTTTTACAGAGGCTCCGTAGAGCTGGTACATCGGATACCACAGGGAGCCAGTTAAGTGTTTTGGACATCTTGAATTGCCTGAACTCTTGAGTGAAGCTGGGGATATCTATGGGGAGATCGCTGTTCCACTGTTCCTCCAGCCAGCATCTTACGCGTATTTGGAAGTAGTACACGATTATCGCTGGTGCTAATTTAGCTCCGCATTCATCCACGAGGGCATATCGTAGCCCCAGCTGGATCCGCTTAAGCCGCTCCAGTCCTTCCATATAATTCCGGACTAAAGGATGTTCTACTCCTAGTAGGGTAGCAAGGACAGGAAGATAACCCTCGATTTGTAAGACAGCCTCCGTCCACTCTAGGGGCACATAACCTTTCGCCTTGCCTAGGCTGAGTGCATCACTGAGGCTCAACGAATTGCCCTCAGTGGAGATAAGTGTATCGTAAGCTAAAGCTGCTTGCGCATCTTCCATTTGCCTCTTCTTAGCGGTGGGGGACCCCCCATGGGCAATATCCCATCACCTAAGTCGCATTCATCTATCCCATAGAAACGGAGGGCTTGAAATGTTTTCAGTATGGAAGTGGGAATGAAAGGAGATTGGAGGGAAAGCTCTCTTGCCGCTTGGTCCACATAGTTCTGGAACAGTGCATGTAGCTTCTCCCCTTTCTTTTTAGTAACCCAACCGCTATATATAGCGGGTAAGTCCTCCGGTCCTTCGGCCCTGCTGAGGGCCGTGAGTCGTGTGACATTCAGCTCTCCAAACACATCCTCTAATGTAGCAGGCTTGGTTTCCTCAGCACGCCGTTTTTCGTTAGCTTCATTTGCTTTGAGCTGGTTATCAGTGAGTGTGGAGACCGCCGCTGTGAGTGCCGCTGTTTCCGGGCCTATCAAGGATGGGACCAAGCCTAAGCCCGGCAAGTCTCTATGTAGAACCTTTTGATCCATGTACACGTTGAGATCTGCATCCGCTCGAAATAGTGGGCCAGGCTCGGTGGCGGCAATTTCGCATACGGCTGTATTGTGGTCATTGCTTACATGGGTCCCMGCTATACGTAGTGCATCCAGCAAGGGTGCAGCACCGGTTGTAGGCTTGCCACGGTGTAAGGTGCTTTCCTAGAACAAACGGCATCAACTCAAATGGCAGGAAGAACGTGTGCCTGCAGCGGATCTTTTCTGTATCAGGGGTGTTGTCCCCTAGGGGCTCGAAGAACTGTAGGCTCGGGTTAGCGTCCAAGCGAAGGCGGTGTTGTTGTTGCCTGTGGACCCGTACCTGTCCCGTCAGTGCGAACATGTTGGTGGTAACTTGGACCAGTTCTCCTCGACCGGAGAGTACATCATCTAAGAAACCAAAGATCTTGTTGGCGTTTGGTGATGGGTGCAATAGGTTCCCAGGGTACTTGCGAATCCCATGGATGATTTGTAAGCGCGGGAGGCCCCCGGCGTCTATAACAAAGATTCCGATCCCTCCTACGGCCTGAGCCTCGAACAGGTTCAGGACGTGCTCCAGTAGGGCGCTAGCGCCGACGGGAGGCGTGGTCCGGCTTGAGAATCGTTGGCATATCCCTAGATAGGCTGTACGTCGTAGCCCTGGGTCTCTACCAAAGGGATTCGCGTCTGGATTCCGGAACAGCTCTTCGTAACGTGTGGGCCGTGGATCCACGGTACTTCCCATGGTTAGCTGGTTGGAGCGGGACCCAGCATTAAAGCGGGTCCCGATCTTACTGGAAGCTAAGAGCTCTTGTTATTCTATTACTACTTCGCTTCCTGGTATAGCAATAGTGAGCTTAGTGAGGAGCTGCAAGCTGCTGAGCTCTACGGCGCACCTCTTGTTGCTGCTGTCTGTCAGTTGCCAGCTGAGCTGTTTTCCTCCACTCATTTCGTTGCGCGCGCGCGTTTGCGCGCACTTTTTGGTCCAGACATTGCGGGACTCGCTACACCGAATACTGTACTCTAGTACGTACTTACCTGCTGTACAAAGTATTTCGTACGAAGAGTAAGAGGACGCATGCATGGCTGTTCATTTGTGCATGCGTGTTTCTACGTGGTACAATCCCTACATTGAATTGTTGACGTTGTGCCACAATAAAAAAAAATAGTATCTTTCGTGTCTGTGTCACGTAAACAGCAAAAAAAATCAACAGCAGAAACAACGACACCAGTAACAATGCAAAAGAAGAACGAGTCGAATAAAGTTCGGGCAGCGAGCGACACCGAAATTTAGATGATACTGCTGTGCGAGGATGGACAGATCNTACACAGGATCTAATCAGAGCTACTGAAAGCTCAAGTCGGAGCGCGAGAATCTTAATCTTATAATTCAATTTTCTTACACATTAAAAACATACTACTAAGAGTACACGTAATCTTGTGCACTCTTCAAAATTCACATAGCAATGTGCACATGGTTGTGAAGAGAACAGAAAACTCTTTCCGACTAATAGATTCTTGAATTCTGATTGGTGCTTTCCTAGGCTTTAGAAGCAAGCAAAGATAGCTGCTCAAAGCTAACAACTGGCGTTTTATTATACTCATAACCTATCTTGGATTCGATCCACACATTAGGGTGCGTATCTCGTACTTGAAGGCCCAGAGAATGACTGGTTGCTGAGAACAAGCTTCCCAAAAATGGCATGCGCGAAATCCCTAAAAACGCGTAATCTTTTGTCAAGCGGAGGTAGCTACCGTATGAAGAAGTAAGAAGTACTGTACTCTAGTACGTATTTACCTACTGTACGAAGTATTTCGTACGAAGAGTAAGAGGAAGCATGCATGGCTGTTCATTTGTGCATGCGTGTTTCTACGTGGTACAAATCCCTACATTGAATTGTTGACGTTGTGCCACAATAAAAAAAAATAGTATCTTTCGTGTCGTGTGTCACGTAAACAGCATGAAAATCAACAGCAGAAACAACGACATCAGTAACAATGCAAAAGAAGAACGAGTCGAATAAAGTTCGGGCAGCGAGCGACACCGAAATTTAGATGATACTGCTGTGCGAGGATGGACAGATCGCAAACCAGGTAGTAAATAGAACCGCTCTGTAACATAAAAGCGACAAGAATTGCGACGACAAGCTCGGAATACTGCATCAAACCAGGTAGTAAAGAGATATTCTGAAGAGAGATGGCKGAGGAATCATCATCATCATCATCGGCAGGGGAAGCCATTAGGGAAGCGGCACTTTCTGCAGAAAATGCAGTCGAAAAGTGCACTGCTAATGTTGCTATCGAAGTGCCCCCTGCAGCAAATGCAGCTGAAGGAGCACCTGCTGCCRATGTATCGGCAGGAGAAAAAAGAAAWCTAGACGAAGGGGATGGGGAAGATGTGGTCGACACACCATCGACCAGTATTAAAGAGGTGAGSACTGATGACGCCCCCGAGAACAAACCGAAAAAAGCAAAGATCAGTATGCCCCCTCCGGTCTCCTCTTCCCTAACGGACGTAGAAAAATACACCCTTGAATGCCCACCGCCCTCCGACAATACCAACGAGGCAGACGCCAAAACCAAAATCACAACCCCAAATTTGATGCTCTTTGGATTGCATCCTCTCATCCAAGAATTGCCACTACAAAAGTTTCTTGAAGACTATGGGAAGGTCCTAGCGATTACAGTACGCTCTGCATTTGCCTCTCGTTATGGGCATGTTACATTTGAAACGGTGGAAGAAGCCCGAAAATGTTATACATCGATAMACGGCGCCAAACTRCTGCACAAGGCCTTTTTGGTACAGCCGTCCATGGCATCGGCGGCGCCAAAAGCCTCGACCTCGATGGATTCAAAATCTAAGGAAAGCAAAGATACCGAAACTACCGAAGTTAACACTATATCGACCGACTCKGCGGGAGCCGCTGCTGCAACAGCGGCTGCTACTGCCACCGCAACGACTCCCACTTAAAAATTTCTARAAAAACACAAGTTCTGTACATGTAGCATCTGTTTACWACCATTTACTGTAGAGAGTGAAATTAATTGACACGACCTTTTGAATTTTTAATATTTTCAATTGAAGCGCTGGGAACGAAATTCAAGACGAACGACAACACCTRTAGATGAGCACAAAAACAAAATTATWGAACACGACTCCTTGACCAGGAGCTTCGGCAACGCAAAGATAGTTATTAAACGAATRCGAAGCAAGATGCAGTACATATCAAAAGAAAATTTATTATTTTGTCACAATGTGTCTATCTATAATTGTTGTTTTAAGATATCTATTTAATTATACACACGAGATCGATTGATCGATGTTTTCGAATTAAACTATAGTTTAAACATCAAATTTGAATGATTTTGCCATGTCAGGCATGCGAACAAAAGGTGGGTGGGTGGAGTCGTGGGGTGTCAAACTCTTGGCGTAGATGTCTTCCACTACTTCGTTCGCCTCGGGAACGGCCCATTCCTTGGCCTTTTTAACTTCCTTTTGTACTTCTTTTCTGATTCGCTTTTCGGTCTCCTTGATCTCTTCAGCTGTCATAAAGCCAGCTTCCTGCAAGCACGACTTTACGTGCTCGATGGGGTCGCGGTTGGTTCGAGTAAACTCGATCTCTTCGCGGTTTCGGTAGGTGGTTCCTGGATCGGACATCGAGTGACCATGGTACCGATAGGTCATCATTTCTACATACATGGGGCCGTTTCCATTACCGACGTAGTCTTTGGCGAATTTCATGCCCTCAGTGACAGCCAACACATTCATTCCGTCGATTCGCAAACCGGGGATGGCGTTACCCATYTTGTAGTAATCACTGATACTAGAGTGGCGATCGATCGAGGTACCCATACCGTAATGGTTGTTTTCAATGCAAAAGATCATTGGCTGCGACGTGGTGATGGTAATTTTTCGAGTCAAGGTTTTGAAATGAATTTGGTRTTGTTTTTGTTTGTGTGTGRTGTAATGCATCAGATGATTGTTTGGTTTCGAACAGAAGTCCACACATGCAATGAAGCGTTTGAAAAAGATGATGCCATTMAATGATACAAGGAACAGCGATTACAAAAAAGGCCCATATGAGATGCTGGTGGTCGGACCATCTGACACGTGAAGCAAGGACACGTCGAAGTCACACAACAACGGCCTCAATGGCAAGACGATGAAAACCGAATATACTCACGAGATCCCAAAGGTTGCTCATGTTGGCAGCTTCCCAGATTTGTCCTTGGTTGGCAGCACCATCACCATAGCAACCGATGGCAACATTCATGGGYTGACCTGGCTTAGCGTTGTACTTGTGGGCGAAAGCCAATCCTGCTCCGATTGGAACCTGGGCTCCGACGATACCGTGTCCACCGAAGAAGTTGTGCTCTTTGCTGTACATGTGCATGGATCCACCCTTTCCCTTGGTGACACCGTTGGCCTTTCCAAAGAGCTCTCCGACAACACCGGCAACGGAGCCTCCTCTCATGAGCGACAATACGTGGCAACGGTAAGAAGTRACCCAAGAATCCTCCTTGTCGAGGGCCTCTTGGATTCCGGTAGCGACTGCCTCCTGTCCGTCGTACAAATGGCAGAATCCGCGAATGTTTCGCGCCTTGTATTCGTTGTCGCATGTGATCTCCATCCGGCGCATCGTGTACATGGTTTCAAACATGGCAACGAGCTGATCCTTAGAAACCTCGGCGGTTTCAGAAGGTCCGCTTTCAAAATTGTGGATCTGAGAGTCCCCAGTGCCAAACATTTGTCGCATTCCGAAAAGCAATACAAAGCAGTTTCATTAAAATTTAGTTCAATTCAGTTGTTTCGTTTTTCCAATCCGAATACACGGGCACATCAATGACAGAATCGTGATTTACAAATRAAAAAAGAGGCGTGAGTGGACGAAACTGAAAGGCAGAGATACCAAGTGCCGTATCCCAATCAAATGCCGTCGACAGGCCCAAAATTTGTGACCGACGCTGCAAAACATTGGTTTCSGATGAAGCGACTTYTATAAAAAATGAACTARAATCGCAACTCTGGCTGCATTCGTGAGAGTCCCAATCGCTCTCACCTCGAAGGATCCGGTAATGTCAAAAGTGTGCGAGGTGGACATGGCACGTCGTGATGCCGATCGCACCATTGTCGGTTTGGAGACCACTCGTCGAAGGATGGTGTTGCTTCTGGAAGAAAACATTGTTGTATGTAGGTGATATAATAACTGTCGGGGAATAACTTCTACTACAATAAATTTCTAGATTGATCAGTATGTTGAGAWGTTMGTATTACACAACAAACGGATGCCGTGATCAGTTGGGATTAGACAAGGACGACGACGACCACGGTACGGTACGTTTACTGCATTTGCATTCTTTTTCTTTCCAGCTGGTGTTTCACGCTTGGCTGTTACGTTGCTTCCCGTAGTTTTCTCAGTTTAACTTCCTTCCCATCCTTTCGTTCCCAACAAATCGATCCATATCGGCCAATGAGCCATCAGCATTTGTCCTTCTCCGTTTGACTCGATGGATCAGGAGACTCTACTTCTTCCTCCGTTCGGTGTTGCGGGAAGAATGCATTGATAATTGATATGTACGATATGATATANTGTCCAGCTTCATTCAGAGTGAACCATGCTCCACATGGACAAACAAAATTCATCAAATCATGTGGGAGGACATATGGGTAGGTAAAGGCTGAATGTCGACGCTTGCCTAGTTGTGTGTGTTCTGAAAAGTCAGTTTCACAATAATATGCACAATGATGCTCAACCATATCAAGAAGTTCTTCAGCATCTAACTTGGGTATATCATATCGCGGTGGGGCCTTCATCTTCAGTTTCAAGCTTGCAACAGAGCAGGGTGCAAATTTGTTGTGTCGTCGTCGTAGAGGGGGGTGCAAATTTGTTGTGTCGTCGTCGTAGAGGGTGCAGATTTGTTGTGTCGTCGTCGTAGAGGGTGCAAATTCGTCGTAGAGGGTGCAGATTTGTTGTGTCGTCGTCGTAGAGGGTGCTCCTGCTTGTGGTTGCTGGTTGCTGATTATTGACTGCTGCTTGTTGCTGCTTGCAAAGGTATTGTTTTCTTTTTGTGCTTGCAATTAAGAGGGAGGGGAGGAGAGGTCTGTTGGTGTTGGTGTTGGTGTTGGTGTTGCTGTTGCTGTTGGTGTTGCTGTTGGTGTTGCTGCGACAAAGAAAATGCTTTTGTGGTGTGACGAGAAAGTTTTTTTTTTCTCGTACGAACAACAATTTGAGGATTTTGAGGCTACGCAAGAATGTACACAAATTACTGGTATCATGATGTTATCAGATCTGAAAAGGATCTGATAACCTCTACGCACGAATTAGTACAAAAAATATATATATATATTATTAGGGGTCAGGTTATTGTTCCTAATACAGTGCCTTCGACTTCCACTGCCACCGAAGCAGACCAATCCGTACCAGTACTCGTACCAGACGTTGCCGTGAGTGCGAAAACCACCTGAACAAAAAATAACTTCCGTTTGTCACAAACGACGGATTGACACAAGAACCAGAAACAATCCCACAAGTAGCACCTCTTGCCAGCTTTTGTATCCACACACGAACCCCTAGCTGCATCCGAAACAACTCAGGAATCGAAAAGCTCAAAGTAAATTACAATGGGACGTCGTGCGAAAAAGGCCCCGGTACGTCGTTCTCTAAACTGTAGAGTCCATTCGTTGTTTGAAATGGAAAAAATCTTTGCTGCTCCTCGCTTTTCCACCAACCGCGGAGTTCCGGTCGCGGATGGTGGGCCATTGCATGCCSCGTATCTAATGGARGACGGAAACGCACAAGGACAAACAATACTGATTCTTATATCTGGTATCCGAACATGATGATTTGTGAAGCGAAGTCGAAAAATCAACCATGGTACATCGGGGCGGCACGGAATCAACCACCATTGTCTCACCACTGCTGCCGTCTTCATCTGCTGTGTTGTTCAAATGAAAACTGTCTTGGTTGTCACAAAAATATAATGGATGGATTGGATTTGCGATTTATCTATTGATTAATTGAACGCTTCAAAAAAAAACAAATTGAAACAACGAAATACTCCACAATCCACACTTTTGCGCCCGCCACGGCCTTAACACCGTTCCAAACCAATAATGCAATAGGTCCAAACTAAAAAGCGTCCCACGCTTGCAAAGCGCTTCAAGTGTCCCTTTTGCAGCAACGAGGACGTCGTCGAGTGCAAGATGGATCACAAGGCGAGAGTCGGAAGCCTCAGCTGYCGCTTGTGCGGTGCCTCCTTTGCGATGCCTATCAATCACCTGCACGAACCCGTGGACGTCTTTAGCGAGTGGCTTGACGACTGCGAGGCTACGGCCCTAGGGAAACCGACGGGRCAGGCCGCCGCGGTGGCTGCGGCGCAAGAGGCCCACAACCACCGGCTGGAATACGACATCTCGGACGACGACGACGACGATATTGGCCAGCCCTCGGGGCTTAGCGCGCCGAGCAAATCAAAGGGGAAAAMTGGTGGAGCGGCCTCGGCATCCAATACGAATATCGCGGATTTGGGATTGGACGATTCAGACGATGATTCGGATTAGCRATAAAACWATCATTCAATTGATTCACACTTTTTGTATCACTCTCGTCAACAACGACGGAAGAAGGGTCAAAATTACCCATAACATTAAAATCGACAAGAACTACGCTTTTGTGAACTCTTCTCTATGAATTGTTATTATGTGCACAATTTGAAGCCTCCTAATGTGAAAAGGAACGCGACTTTTTGCAATGGTTTCCGCTGTTTTTGTCCCGAACATTTCTTCCAGCATCATRAAATGGAAGGTCGCCCTCGGAATGAGCATGGTGAAAATCTCTTTCGATAAAATCAACACGGCCCCCCAATGCAAGTGCAAACGAATCGTTTTGTTGATTTTGGTGTTCGCGTCTCTTCGGTGGTTGTAGCTTTTCATTATGTTGCCGAGGGGGATTCAAASAACGGTTACAGTCCATGATCGTTACGGTCCCTTCGCTGGAAAGCAGATTTTCAGCTGTCGTAGGTGTGACTATTATCGATCTTTGTKGTATGCGATTACCTTCCGTACCTTGTGTCCTCGTCTGATTGCCACTCCAGCTATCACGAGTCTTGTGGAAATCTTTACAGGGTTCTGGACGCTGACAACCTTCTAAATCTCTGTCATTTACGACAGGTAGTGGYTCGAAAACCTCTTCTCGTTGGAGGCGAATGGATGGCTTCTGGATTGAAGTATGTTGGATGCCGTCATTCTGGTGGAAAATATCACCGGTTATGATGGGAGACGCTCTATCTTGAGAGGGGTGTGCACGGTGCAAATCCTCTGAGTCTTTGTCATTCACGAGAGGCAAYGGCTCGAACTCCTCTTCTCGTTGGAGGCGAATGGATGGCTTCTGGATTGCACTGTGTTGGTTTCTTCCAACTTGTCCTCTCCCACTTGTGATTCGTCCCGAATGGGGATGGAGAKGTACATGTGTTTCTGGCTTATGATGAGTGCGTGGGTAATTTTGATGGGAATATGGTATCGGCTCGATGTTGGTGCAAGCGGTGGGTTGTACCTGTTGTGGGCTATCGGGCACAAAATAGTTTACGGGATGTTCCCTCCTCCTGCCTGCTCCTCTCGTATTGTATGTCATATACGCGGGGCCAGATCGGATCTGGACGTCGACGGCTGCAAGGAGGCTTTGCTGATGAATGGATAATTGCTCTCGCTTCCTAACAAACTGCATCATGCTACTGTAGAGCGATTCTTTTTGATCGCATGTGTTGTTTCCCAAAAATACCGCAGAGCTGAGCCTCTCCAACTCCTCCGTGTGGATGGATCCGGCCGGTGACATGAGGACCGGAAAACGATGGTTCAGGTACGAGTTTTGGTGGATAAGCGAGAACGCCCTTTGTAGCTTGGCCGTTCCAATTGTTGCTTCTTCTACTGCGCTGTTCAGTTTCAGGCTCTTRTCATCAAAGAGTGCGCTGAATTCGATTCGGTAGAAATCCTCATCGGCAGACGCAGCTCTCTGGTAATGATATTGTGCATGGATGCAAAGGTTATTGGCTTCCGCAATGGTCTTCAACATTTCGTCCCTCGCATCAATAGCGTTRACGGAAACTGACATGGTGGGTTTTGCGTGAATTTTTTGGACWCACAACGTGCTTGCTAMTATTCGGGTGTCTWTTTGCTTGGAAACTTTTCGCCTTTGTCCATTTGCTAGTCAATCATTCAAATCGTTGTCAAGGTTTGGTCTTTTCCAGTGTGTATTGGTGGAATTGATTCGTTTCTGTATATTCGCCTTAGATCGTCTATAGAAGGAAATACATTACAGAACTTTTGACTTGCCTTATTTCAATCATTAGGTATTGCAATTCGACAATGCGTAACAGTAGGATGTACGTTACGTGAGTTTGCATTTTTCCTAATCGACGTGCCGTAGGCGCTAGTTAGGAGACAGTAGATGGTGAACGTATCGGTYGTCCCAGGGTTTTGTTCCAATCGTTCGAAATGATAAACCTCAATACGATAAACCAAAGAATTCAAGCCAGAATACAGACGGAACTCAATCGGGATATGAATTCAACGATCAAAATTTGTTTTTAGATGGCAATTGATGAGATTTGTACACGTGCTTTTTATGGTCATGTTTAAGTTACAAGACGTCATTGCACGTCTGTACCGTAAAAGAAATAGTTTACTCCTCCAGGTTAAGTTTATTRRCTCAAATCTCYAAGTTCAATTCTTTTTTGCTTATCAAAATATATTACTACTTATAGTTCGAAAAGTTTTCTTGTTGAATCGTATGAAATTAATTAATTTACTTCGTTGGTAGCATGAGACACATGATAAAAATGAGACGYGTTTCTTTCGGATTCATCACTTCTTCACGAATAGATTTTGAGGGTATAAAATGYCATCCTCGCCAGTACAACAGATCTGTGCAGTTCGTACGGTACGTACAGTAAAATACGATTACCGTTGCATCTCCTGTACAAGCGTTCAAAACGGGATTGCTGTACGATTAGAACGTGGGACAATGAGRTTGTTAGACGTGCTCAAGAAGCAAGACAGATGGGAAGCGAAAAATCTCCGACTCAATGTAATATGCTAGAGATGGACAAGATGTCTTGATTAACGTATCATATCAATACGAGAGATAATTATAGGACTTCTTCTGTCGATATAAAGGACTAAAAGCGGTTCAGATATCTCCAGTTTAACTTCTACGGTAATACTTTAGTCACTAYTTTCGTTGCTTAGGCTATTATGTCCACTTAACTTGCACCAGAGGAGAAAGAGGCGCATCCCCAATACGGATTCTATTTGATTATTGCATCTCAGTAACCTTTGGCTTATGTGACMATAGAGATCGAAAATCGCTTGGGAATGGGTTCAATAACACTATGATGACTCTRTTTTGCTGCCAGAGATGGTCGATTGATCTTGTACTGAACATATCAAGGAGCAGCTGCTCTACTACATCGACGTAGCACGTGACCGGTCTGCTGCATCACCGCATTCATGTTACCCGGCAAATCATAGACACGACCGAGTCCTTTGATGTACTCGAACTTGCCACCGCCGAAATTGTCGTCTTCCATCAGGTCGCCTCGTTGCAAAGAAAACGGAGGCCCCGAATCGTCGCCCCCTTTCTTGAGTTTGCACTCCAGATATAAGATTCCGTTCTCCTTTGTGTACTCCGATATTCGCTGGCAAAATGGTTTTCGCAACTCTTTGGGCAGTGCTCCGAAGCTATCCTTGTCGTAGACGGCATCGAACGATTGGTTCAGATTCGTGCGTTTTTTCATTGCATCGCCGACGATTAGGGTGGCGCGACCGCTGCTGTGTTTCCACACTATATTGGTAACGCTGCCGTCGTTATTTTCGTCCTCCTCTTTCGCCCATGAACTGTCATCGCCGCCATCGAACTGCGCTTTCATCGCTTCAACTGCTTCCGAAACCAAATCGATGGCTGTGACGCTGTATCCTTTCCGGTACAATAGGTGCACAAAGGGGTCGTCACCTGCCAATGGACAGAGGACGGAAATATTTTTTATCTTGTCGTCGGACGGCGTTCCCTCTGGCAAGAACCTATAAAAATTGGCGTACGCTTTCTCGTGGCTCTCTTCCGATGTGATTCTCCATCGGGGGTTCCCACCGCTAAGGATATCCTCCCAAGCACTGGACCAGCGACTTCTAGTGCTACTCCCRCTCATTGCTGTTGCGGCTCTGCGGTAGCAGGCAGACAATGACTTATCAAGGCCCGTCGGCTTGACAACAAAGGCTGTTGCTGATGTTTGCACGATATACAATGGTAGTAATTGCAATGRTAGTAACGATAGAGTAAAAAATAACCTATATGTATGGTTCATTTGGTCTCCTGAATATCGATATTTATGCGATAGAAAGAATTCTTTGAGGGCACTGGCTCCCGCACTAAARAGAAAAGTGTTAGACTAGTGCACTGCAGCCAACATGAGACTGGATGACGAAGTCTTGCWCTGTCACCTCGTCACTWGTATCGTGATTAGGGTTCAAAATTTCAATATGAAAGAGTCCAATTACGGTACTTTACCAAGTACAGTATGKTAACTACGAACCGGGCAGCTACTCGGCTTTTTGTCTTCTCGAAGTAAATATATCTTTGGTATGTATTCATGATACATATTAATTAACTTCGGACGTTAGAAAAGGAGTACAGTACTCCGAGAAAAACGGTAGGATTTACGCCGACCAGGTCAAKGTCTCATACTTTTTTCCGGTAGAAAAAAATTCAAAATTTGAAATGTGAACCGTCGTTCAGGTAACTGGTCCTCGTACGAGTACTCGTAACAATTGCGACAGTACGTAGTTTGATGTTTCGTTCGGTAAAACGATTAGTACCCTTATGGCACAGTACGAACTCGTACCCTATCAAACGCACTTCAATTATGTCGGCTCAACCGAAGCACAAATTCAACCCAACTTACAACAGAAATCCTGTACCCTTGGTCCGAAGCGTCTCCAAAAACGGAAAAGGAATTGTATCAGAACCAAAGCAACGAGAGTGATCGTATTATTCAATACGGTACCTACGCTTGACCATTGAGTTTCATAGCACGAGAATACCCTGGCAGCTCTACTTTCACTTGGTGAAAACATTATTTTTTTATTAATTTTTGCACACGACTATACTCATCATGAGTTCAGCGAGCAACGAAGCTTCCTCGGGAGTGAATCAAAGAGAGACATTTAGTGGACCCGAAGGAGTCGACGGGAAGGAAAATAATTTCGGATGCAGCACACTTCGTCATCCATCAGGGAAAGTAGGTGATCATGTTCCCATTGAAATTGGGCCTCGCAACAATGTTGGGATCCCCTCTCCTTCAGCCTTGAAAGATAACAACAACAAAAACAAAATTTTAAAACAAAGCAAAAAACTCGTCGGTTTTATAGGGGGATCAATCATGACGGCATTGAATAACCAAGGAGCGTTTGTCTCCAAGAARAGTTTCGATTCAGAAAAAAATGGAGATTTGGCGACTGATGGTATTCTCTCAAATGACGAAGATTTGGAAGCAGGTCTATCCATWAAGTCCAATGAAATGCCAGTTCAAAATGAGAAAGCAACATCGATCAGCAACAAAGAACAAGTATCGGATGGAAACCTTGGAGCTAGTCGCCAAATAGAAGCACAGTCGCCAGTTTTGCAACCAAAACACAAGTATTGGGAGACATTGTTAATATCTTCGGAACAAAAAGACATTCGTGAAAAAAACGATTACAAGCAGGAAAACGACGAATCTCGGTYTCCTCTGTCTCARGTGCCCATATCACAAACAATTTCGACACATTTGACTCCCCAGAAAAAGAAGAGTAAGATTGTCAACGAAATATACGAAGATAAGGGATCTCCTGAAAGCGTTGAGGAGAGCATTGTCGAAAGTGTTGTGGAGAGCCTACTTTCAATTCCTGGTGACTATTCACCAGGAGGTTCGACTTTAAGCGTCAAGCCTACTCCCAGAGTCACCAGATTCRCGAATAGGGGGAACCACTCTCCAGAATCCTTGCTGTGCAACATGATTTCAACGGCTACTACTTTAGAAACCCCTCAAGTTTACAAGTCTGGATTGGGTCGTATTGAACACCAAAATAACTCTGYTGAACAAGCTTGTAATTCACCAGAATCATTTATGCGCAATCCAGCAGGAAACATATTTAAAACACCTCTGACCAACAAGTCTTCAATACTATCCATCCCAAACCAAGACGAATCCGTWATTGAAGATATRTAYATAGAGAAATCATCTCCGCAAAGTCTGCTTTCTATCCCCGAGAATGCTGTCCAAGAAAATACAATACCCATGAAGGAGCATTCGCGAGAAGAAAATTCTCCAGGATCCTTGATGTATAACATGATTTCGTCAGCCACCAAACTCGAGACGATTCCGGTATCAAAGAAAGGAGAGGATGTTGCTTTTATGGATAGTACTCCCAATGAATCAACTAGCATGATGTCATCCACAACGACGGCACAGACTACGGTACTCGATCGGAATATTCAAAATGGTTCTGATTGTACTCTGGGGAACGCTGGCACGACAGTTCCTGAGAGTGGTGCTTCGGARACAATTGTTCGCGTCAACAATGTTGGCGAATCACTAGACGACACTCCAGTGAAGAGCAATAAAAGTCAAATTTTTAGGTCGCTTAAGTCAAACGATTCGCTTGAAAGCGATTGTGAACAAAGTGAGGATGGGTCTATCTACACTTCGATATCCAACCAATCGCTTGTTCGATCAAATGCACCATTAGAATGGATTGGTCCAGATGCATCGTACAGAGTATCAATGCCTCCTCCATCCATCGGTATGGATAAGAGTACATCTGGGGTTSTAGATGAGCCTTTGCAATCCACGAAGCCTTACATGAAATTAGCAGAAACAGGACAGCCTTCTATCTCGGAGCACAAAATTAAACCAAAAACGAAGTCGACGAAACTATCCAATGGTTGGATWCGAAGCTCATCGCCAACCTCTCTGCCGAGTATTCTAGGAACTGCTTCTCTCAATGAGATCAGTGATTTGGAGTCGCCAAATATAATCATGCCACATTTAAACTTCAAATTCTCCGACGAAGAATCTACCATTCATTCTCAATCAATTCACGATGGTTGTGATATTCAATCTGTCCCTGGAAACGATAAGTATCAACGAGTGTTATCTCCCCAGTCCCTCATGACAGTAGACACACCAGCAGGAGGATGTCCATCAGATGATCGACATTACCTTGTCGAAAAATCTCTGAATGGTACCACTAACATTCCTCAACTTGAGGCTTCCACGGCTGCAGCTTTAGCTGCTGGTTCGACTATGACCAGCAAAGGCARTGGTTCTCCGCACTCGACCATTACTAAAGAATCATTTGAGCGAGGATTTGTTGAAAAATCRAARTCGTCGAAATGGCTCATGGTGTGCATTGCATTGGGAATGTTGGTGGCTATTGGAGGAGGGATCACCGTCCTTGTTGTGTCGTTTAGTGATGAAACAAAACAGGCGGAACCAGATCGGCAGCCAAATGTTGATGAAGACTGGAAAGGGGGCGGTATCGACGTGTACGACCTTCGACRTCAAACCGATGCTCCGAGTGGTGTATCATCGTTCTCGTCGTCTTTGAGATCGTCTTTGGATCTTMCTGATTTTAACAGCACGGACATCTATGATCCCGTCGATTTTAACAGCTCATACACGTACGATCCAACGTCATATCCAATTTTTAACGTAACATCGGAAGCAATTCAGGACGAAAACCCATCCCCAAAGCCAACWACAACTTCCATTAAGACTAAAGCCCCTTCGTCGAGGCCAGCACCTTTGCCTAAACTGACTCATGCTCCATCGTCAAAACCAATAGTTGAGCCGAAGATGGACGTTGTACAGTCTTCAACAACTGATAGCCCTCTGCTTCAGTCCGAGYCCACATCAAAGCCAGTACAAGCATACGAGCCGTCAATGAAACCAACATTTAGACCTACGATTTTAACAACTAATGCCAACCAATCTTCAAAACCAACATCGACACCAACATCGACAACAACATCGAAACCGACGACGAAGCCGACAACGAAGCCCACAACGAAGCCTGCATTGGAACCAACATCGAAACCGACGACGAAGCCGACAACGAAGCCTGCATTGGAACCAACATCGAAACCTGTATCATTGCCGTTACCAACGTTCACGAACGAAAAACTTCAAGAACTGACTTGGGATCGAACAATCAAAGGTGAGGACATTTGGAGAGAGCCTGAAGGAGAATCATCAACAACTCCATCGTGGTATTTTGCCGCTGATGATACTCCTGGAATTCACATTAAAATAGTCAACGCCGCAAGAGGCGATCGTCTGTTAAATCAGCTCAAAATAGCAGTCGATGACTACGGCAAAAGCCATGCTGTGTCATCCCTGGAGCTGACGACGGTCGACTACGAATTCTTGTGCCCACCTCCCGAGATAGGTCAAATTAAAGTGTGCAGCGGAGACTTTGGCAATGAGTGGATTGGATCGACCATATTTTTTATGAGGGGAGAATACGTTGTCAGTGCTCTGATTCGCATCAATGAGCATGCCTCAACGCCTGCAGGTGATGCGCTTTTGCAGTACTCGCTCTGTCACCAGCTTGGACATGCCCTTGGAATAGGGCACAATAATGGCGGCATAATCTCAGAATCGTGCATGAAAGATTTTGGTGAAGATGTTACTGTCGATGGTAATGACATCCAGAAGAATACAAAACTCCAGCATCCAAACTGGGGTGATCTGAAARCTTTGGTAAATCTTTATGGTCTTGCGGGAACCAAGAAACTCCAAGATGGAAGAGGCATTGCTCGATAATGATGATTATGATGYTAGAATAACAGTATCTGTCGTCTAGAATTACAAGACTTCCTTGCATTATGGGCACCAATTAGTATGCCCAAAAGAAATAAAAATTATWCATTGATYTTTTTTAATTGTAGCAAGTGTAAATGTTCCTGTACTATTGCTTCGACCAGACTTTGTTGTCACGGAAAAATCTGATTCCCCCTTCGCTTTCGTCCCAAAAGCCTTTTGCATCTTTGGGTCCACCTATGGCTGAAAAATCAATTGATACGCACTGCTGTCCSTGTCTGTCACGATCACTGCTACCAGTACACTGGAATATTKCTCCCGGGAATTCGATGTAGTCATCTCGGCTACTGCTAATTGCGGTGCTTGTTCCTTTGACTTTGATGAATCGATACAATCCAAAAAAGTCTCCCGACGCCGAGGAAGCTGATGCTGTGTTGGACGATGCCAGTTCGATTCTATACTTCATTCTGGATATCCGGCCGTCGRCTCCCTCTCGATCCAAATCGTCATCTGGATAGTAGGTGCYGCCCAAAAAGACGTCGGTGGCATTTGGAGTTTCGACCTTCAAGCCCGAAACATCGATTGCAGCTCGGGCCGTTTGTGCCAAAGACACTGTTACAAGTATGCTAATTGCGCACGATCTTTTTGATGCCGATGATACAATGCTCGTTAGGACCTCCCGTCTGCTGCTGCATGCCGTAGAGTCCTTCGTGGTGGTATTTGGCGGTGCGAGAGAAGCAACGAAGGTGAAACGCAGAACGCTCATTTGAACAGCAGTAACAAGTGCAATCATGCGRAACACTCGTAAAAGATTATTCTGAAAGATCCAGAACKGGGACTTYATTTTCGTTGCAGCCATCGTTTATTGCTGTCCCTCTTTGATTGTTATTCTACGTTTCTTTCTTCTTTCCCCTAGTAACTCCAAGAGATCGCAACTGAGGTTTCTGGCAGAATCAAACAATGCAAGAACAATACCGGTACGGCAAGAAT